GCTCTCGCACACCGTCCGGGCTCCCAACCAAGGCAGGAGCAAACGCACCTTCTCACACGCGTACGAGAGGCAGAGAGCGCGCGGGCGGCCCGTTACCGCAGCTCAGCCAACCCCGGTAGCCCACTAACTGCTGTGGCAAGGTCCGAGCGGCCCCCCCGCCGCCAGACAGATTTAGAGCTGTGGTAAAGCAACACCTCTGCCCATCCCTGCCCTCCTGGGGCCGGGCAGAGCCGCATCGGAAAGAAACGGCAGCTTTTGGGCGCAACGTGCAATGCTTTTATAGTTGCTCATGAACAAATGAGCAATAGCAAATATTCTTGCTAATAGCAAGAACCACCAATTTTTGCACCCCTCCTACGTCAGTCCTGCAAAGGAGGAGAAGAGGTAAAAACGGAGGAAGCGACAAGGAATGGCGGGGGCGGGGGGGGAAGGACCAGAAAGTATCGTAAACTCGTTAAAGATGCAACAGCATAAAACCTATGGTTTTTTAAATGCTCTCCCGCCCCATCCTTCATTTTGGAAATCAGTGTGCGAGTCAAGGTTTAGAGGGAGAGAGAACAGGCTGGGTTAGGTTGGTGCAGGTGCTCTCTGTGGTTATTAGAAGTCATGCATTGTAATAGACTATCACTCACTGCCCGCAGGAGGAGATGCAGCAGCAGCAGCAACAGCAGAAGTGGTGGGAGTGGAATTGACGGAGGAAAGAGCTACATGGGTTGGGCTAGAAACATTTTTTACATCGTGGTGCTGGCTCACGATGGAAGGCTGTCTCCTGAGGGCTCCCTGCAAAGAGGAGGCGCCGGTCTGGAATGTGTAAACTACGTCCATCTGCAAAGAACCAGAGAGTGAGATAGCGTCGCCTTGGCCAGAGACAGGGAGAGGGGCTGGGGGTGGAGGGGAACAGGGAGGTTGGGCAGACACACACAGACAGGAAGGAAGAAGGAGGACGGAGAGGTGGGGAGGAGGGTGGAGAGAGCCCCCCCCACCCCGCGCTCCCATAAACCCGCACCGGGTTCGGCTGGTGTTTCTGGGAGCAGAGGAGAGATCGGCTTCCAGCCTCTGCCCCACTCTCGCAGGGTTTATCCCACCACCGAGAAAAATACTGTGGTGGGAGGGAGGGATAGAGGAAACACCTTGGGTTATCCCGACAGTCTGCAGCAGGAGCAGAGAAAGAGAGAGGGTGGGCAGAGGTGCGAGCTGGCAGCTGGTGGTCCAGAAAACTGCACTGGGAAAGGGTTTCTGGTCCCTCAGCCCCGTGGGATGTACACTGGGGGTGGGACACACCACACGCCCACAGCTCCCACGGCAGCCGGCCGTGCTGGAAGGCGTTTCAGCCTCTTTCCCAGGATCACGGCTTGGCAGAGGGCTCGGAAGCAGAGCTGGTAGGGGTGGGCAGGGATGCAGCAAGGAAGCACCACCCTTGGTGGTGGGCCACAGTTGCTCTGTGGATGTGCACCGAAGCCGGAGGAACCGAGCAGCAGCCGAGTGCCACCATGGTTTCCCAGACACTTTGCAGCTGGACCGTCCCCAGCCCCGTGCCAGCCAGCCCGCTGGCACAGTGCACAGCCCTGCGCTGCCCCGGCTCGCACAGCTCCTTGCGATGGGACACCTCCTCCAGACCCACGTGCAGCTCCAGTTCTCCCTGGAGGTATTTTGCACACCGCAGTTTGATCTCCCTCCATGGAGGGACCCTCTTTTTGCCAGCGCACCAGGCTGGACCGCAGGGAAGAGCCCTGCACTCTCGCTTAAAGACACACTGACTTGGGGCAGAAGCCCGTGAGATGCTTGGGTTGGACCTGCTGGCTGCTCCGCTCAGCGTGCGGGGCACCACAGCCAGAAAAGGAGTTGCTGAAGAGGCTCCGGGACATGCCAATGTCCAGGAGTGGTTTTCATGTTGCAAGAGCAAGAGCTCGTTTCAGCCCAGGTCCACCACAGCGGCAGGGGGCAGCCTCACAGGCTCCCAGCTCCGCCGGCACGGCGGCCCTTCGGACCTACCAGGTCTCCAACGCATCTGGATCGCTTCTGAAACGGCCCAGTGCTTCCAGCCTGCCTTTCACGTGAACGAGCCAGATCGAACCGGCAGCTCAGCCCCACCGCAGCACCAGCGCTGCCCTGGGCCCCCAGAAGAGCCCAGCCGCCCCTCACCGCTCACAACGGGAGGGCAAGAAGGCTGAACCTGACCTTGAAAGCATCAAGGCAACATCTCACAGAGGAGAAGCAAAGTTAACACGGCTGCTCTGCTCACTCCAGTCCCTGTGTCTGGGCCCTTCTGGTTATCTCCATGTGTCAGAGGGTCAGAGGAGGAAGAACGAAAGGTAACACAGCAGCCCTGAACGCCAGGGGCTGCTGGGACCTACAGCTCTCCTCCATGGGGCAGCTCTGCCCAGGCCTCAGGGAGAGATGAGGGGCAGCGACCTCGCTGCAGGGAGCTCTCCGTGCCCTGCCCAGTCAGTAGTCTGGGGGAACAACCACCCTTTCAGGAAAAACTGAGTCAGGGAGAAACAGTTGATGTAAAAACCATATTAACAAAGATTCTCCTCCCCTTCTGTGCTGCAGGGCCAAGAGCTCCAGGCAAGGAGGGGTGGCAAGAGCCCTTGGCCAAAGGGCCGTTGGAAAGGATGGAGAGCAGCAGAGGAGCGAGACCGGAGAGGGTCTCGCACAGGCGGATCCCTCCTGGGCATGTTCCCCACTGGGAGCGAAGTCCCAGCAGCGACCGAGAGCAGCTTCAGTGCTGACCCGCTGCACAACTCAGTAAGAGCCCGGGTGGTTCTGCGACCGCCCCAGCTTCCGAGCCCCCTCCTCTGCTGCACGAGGTGCCCATCGGCAGCACATCCAGCCTCCTGCAGACCAGCCTGGTCCCAGACTCAAGGATGCTATGCTCTGTGTCAGAACAGACCGGTACCTTCCCCACCCCGAGCTGTCCCAGAAAGCCAGGCTGTCCTGGTTCCCCAACCAGGGCAGACCCAGAAAGGCACAGTTGGTGGGAGAAGTCTAGCCCAGGAGGCGATGGCATCCTCCAAGCAGCAGCCGTTGCCTCTTTCCAGTCAAGAGTCCCTGGAGAGAAAGAAAGAGAAAGAAGGAAGAGCCCCACAGCACCCGCTGCTCCACAGTACCTGCGTCTGTATCCTGTTGAGGCCCCTGAACCACAGGATCTGCCCACGCCGCAGCTCCATTTCGGCGTGGTCAATCTCATCCACGTCTTCAGGCAGCTCCTCCTCTGGGATATCCTCCTTGGTGATGCCGTGCCCAGCTTCCTTCAGGAACTTCAGGTGGCTGGTTGGGACAGTGCAGATCAGCTGGGGAGAGGCAGGGAGAGAGCAGTTCCTTAGCCCGCAGGCTATGGCAGGACGGAGCCCACCACCAGCCTTCACCAAGGGGGAGCATTCC